TGAGAAACAAAGTTATTGCTTATTATCCCCTCTTATTAATCTGGCATACTAAATCTAAATTAAAGCTACAAATTTTGTTACCTTAAACCTCTTCTTTTCCATTAAGAGGCTAACAGAACTTGACTGAATCCCTTGGGGCTGAGTTCAATTGCTGAATTCGTTCACCACAGGGCTCAAAGAGGCTAATTCTTGTAGCATATGGGCGAGAGACGAGAATCCTGGTAACTTGCTCTGCTGGTTCCTAAATAAAATTCGAAAGTGCCGGTGGACATATATGCTTTTTCGTCATGAGAGACTATGAAGTCTTAAGGTTTTTTTGTTTTTTTTTTTCCTTCGCCCGACACTTTTAAGGCATCCAGGAAATTTCCTTCCTTTTGAGACAAATATAAAAAACAGTTATCTCCACTTCTCAATGATTAAGGCTTCCTTAACCAAGCATAATGATCTTAAATCACTGGTTATAAAATTAGATCAAGTTGGTGATCTTGAAATCAAAGACTACCTGGGTAAAGTTCTGGCAAAAAATCATTTAACAATGACAGTACTCTTCAATTCATTACATGGATGACTAAAGCCCAAAAGATCCCTCTAAATAAAACTTTGAAGGATTAAGGAATAGTATGTACAATATACCAAAAACATGGCAAAATATGGGTTCATAATCTCTCCAACAAGAAGGATTGGAAAGAAGGAGTCCATCTAATCTTCATGAGTTTGATTACTGAAAACGAGCAGGAACCACCACTCAATAGTAGATTTGCTAAGTCGACAAATTATGTTTGATTCCCATCATCGAAGGGCATTAATAAAGGCCATCAATGAATCAACATCCCTCTTCTCAGAGGCATACTTTACTGGATTAGACGAGTGTTTGGGGAAGAAAAGTATAGTGGGGAAGCTTCCCAACTGCAACTCTCTCTTTGCATACTCCTTTTGTTCACCATCAGCTCTGAATTTTGCTACTTTCACTCCAGAACCTGCCAGCTTCTCAGCCAATTCAACATAAGATTCTTCCATTGCCTGCTCAAAATTCACACACTCATCCATCAGATTAAAGCCAAAAAGCAATTTTAAAATTAAATTCCGCATAGTTTGTAACAGGGTTTACCTGGCAAAATCGGCACCATGGGGCATAAAGCACAACAAGCCATGGCTCTTTCCGGTTCTCCAATCTTGCCAAATTCTCAATTCCTGTCCTGCTCAATGTGACCAAGCTCTGGCTATTTAAAATGTCATTTTGAGAGGCAGTACCATTGGCATGGGCAGCCCCATTTCCATTGCCATTAAGTTGGGCTGCAGTGTCTTGTTTCAAATTTCCTTTATGTAAACCACACTCCTTGGCCTTGGCATCCTCCCACCACCACCTTCCTTCCCTCTCATGTTGTCCTGGTAGAACTGGCCTTGTGCAAGGCTCACAACCAATAGACACGTATCCTTGGGAATGCAAAGAATTGACAGGCACATTCATTGCCCGAAGGAAATTCCAAATGTCTTTACCATCAACGTTGGCAACTGGGTTCCACTTCACCAAGCTACCAATCCCACCATCCAATCCTTCAAAAACAGGATCCACTTGAACAACAGGAATCTCCGACCTAGTTCCTGGAGACTGATCTTTCCTCTGACCAGTAATCCAAGCACGCAACCCCTTGAGTGCTCTCCTCAAAGGTCTCACTTTCCTAACACGGCAGCATTCTTGGTGCCCATCCTCGTAAAAAGAAAACAACCCTTTATTCCTCACCAATGCCTGAACTTCAACAGCATCCGGAAACATGTACTCAATGCGAATTCCATAATGTTTCTCAACCTCATCAAAGAATCGATAAGTTTCTGGGTTCAGCCTTCCAGTATCGAGGCTGAACACCCTAAATGGCCTACCAGTCAATTTCGCATACTCAATCAAAGCAACATCCTCCGCACCACTGTACAAATTAAAAACAAAAAATTCCCATTACCAATTAACACTCAAATTTACCATAACAGAAAATGGATTTAATAATTTTATAAGCAACAGATCCTTCAGATAGTGAGAATATTCGATGAGATACTTTGGCATATAAATCATTAACATTATAATTAATAATACTTAAAGCTAATCAAATTTTGAGCTAAAAGTTACCTGAAAGCGATGGCGATGTCGTTTCCGAATTTCTCTAGAGCCTTATCCATAATTTCGAGTGGAGAAGCTATGTGAAGTTCTTTAGCCAACTGCTCGTAATCCTCCAACTCTATATTTTCCGACACTTCTGTTAATCCAGCAAATAATTAAGTCTTTTTTAATCTTCATTAAATTAAAACTAAAATAAAAAAAGAATAAAAATGATTTTTGAAGTTTCACCTGGAGCAACGACGGTTGCAGACAGAGAAACGATGGAATCATTCCGTTTTGAATCCCCATTTACGGGCTTAACCCCGCAACGTTTTTGAGACAGATTCACCGTTGCATGACGATCTGCTAACCGAAATGAACCAATTTGTGGAACTGAAAACCCCAAATATAACCATCAATAAACATAATTAACCAAAAAAAAAAATTTTAAACAAAAGAGAAGAAAATAACAAAATTAAAAGTACCATTGAGGTTAGAGGAAGCACTTGAACGAGAAAAGCTGGAACCAGATATTGCAGATAAAGATGTAATCTTTGTTACAGCAAACGCCATTTAATATAAAAATGTAATATTTGTTTCAAGAAACGAAAAAAGAAGCTATCTTCAGTTTTCCTCTGGGTTTGAGTTTTATCTGTGTTTAGTGCCCGTAAGAGAGAGTTAAATGGTTAAATAATGGCGTGAAAAAGTAGGGGTACCAGGTTCATTGAACCTAGACGCGATTTCGAAAACCGATATTTTGCTTGCGTGGCTGATTTTGGTTGGAAGGAGATTAATCCAGTCGCTCATTGCTTCCGTCATGTGGCCAGCACGAGAGAGACGTGTTCGGTAGAGAGATGGTTTTTCAATTTGAGCTTGGAGGCTGAAGAAACGGCCGCCTTAATTTCCTTGATTCTTCCTCACTGTTTTTTCTGGTCATTTTTTAAAATTATTTTTAATCCTCCATAAAAATACTAGTAATTATTTTGAGAGATTAAGGTGTGGTTTAAATTATGCAAATTTGTGTGACCTCAGATTTACAGAATCATTTGGTTCAATCAGGGTGGCCCACGTTACAAATAAAGGTCCAGTTTTTTTCCTCAATAACACCCTTTTCCTCATTATTAAATGGTGCGAAAATTATCTCATTTCATTTTCTCTCGATTTTTTATAAAATAATAATAATAAATAAATAAATGTGGTGAAATTATTTGATGGGAATGGGAACGGAACATGGTACTGTGGTGAAATTATGAGACTTCAATTTTAATCCTTTCCAAGAAAAAAAATCTGTGACTGGAACTGTTTGTCGCAATCTGTAAATATTAACCACAATTATGTGGAAATTGGAGAGGGAGTAGTGAGGACCATCGCCTGGTGGCTGGAGACGCACTGAAAGGACACTCTGTGGCGACAAAGGCCGTCAGAATGCTTTGTGGTTGGTGGTCCATTTCATAAAAATCTTTCCAATAATTTCCCCTACATAAGCTTACAGTATACTGTACATATGTTTTTCTTTGTATTCCAATTTATACTCAAGATAATATAAGATTTAATTTATATCGTTATATAATTAGTGCTGCAAAACGAACAAGCATTAATTTAACCAGGCGGGTAAGGTGCTTGAAGCTGTAGACAAAGCGGGCAGATCCTCCCTCCCCCTGCACTCACATGTTGATGTTGACGTTTAATTGACCATGGACTATGTGAGGATGGGGTTGGTTTGCTACAAATGCTACGATAAAGCGCAAAAAGTTTAGGCAAAAAACGGTGCGTCGGCAAGGATGTTATTGTTTGGCGTTGCATTATTGTGAGATACTGATGAGATTGAGAGCAAAATATAACTAATCCTAGAAACATCCATTTACTTCTACAGTATATTCCTTGTCGCAATTGATATGAATTTTTTATATATAAAAAAATCATAATTTGAAGATAAAAAAAAGATTACTGATATTAAAATTTAAAATCATTTGAATGTTGATAGTTGCCTCTAGTTTTAGGTGAAGAAAATAACCTGTCAATAACAAGTTTTGTTTGAGTGTAACATGCATAAGGAAAATTGAGGCCTCTTGTTTACAATCAACAAATTAATGTAAAGGAGTAGAAGATTGATTTGAATAACTTCTTCCCACACTCTGCTGGAGATTATGGAGTTGGTGTAAAACAAGGCAATCTATATGGAAGTTGATGTGACAAGTTCATTTGCAGCAATATTGATTCTCAGCCTAACAAATGCAGTAAAAACGCAAATATTCTAGGATTGCAAATGCATAAAACTTATCACAAGCATATTTCATTGCAAAATTGTAGAGTGAAACAACTCTATGGTCAGGACTCTTGTTGCTTCTTTTTTTTTTTTCATTTGGACACGGTCCTGTTGCTTTATTTGCTGCCAAAGAAAACAAAATACCTCATTACACACACATCAAAGAGAAAAAAAGAAAAAGAGATGAAAATGCAACATATATATTTCTTTACATAACAATTTTTTCTTTTGGTTACATCTTTATAAAACCAATTTGAAGTTGCAACTAGAATCTGGAAGAAACCCATTCTAGGTTTTGCTGATTTCGACATCATATTGAAAGTAGGCCCTGAAACAAAGAAATCCCAAAAGGCCTGCCCATCTGCCCAAAGACTGCAAATGAAAAGTTACAGATTTCATTTCTCCAAGGCCGAAAGTGGCCACTACTTTTTATCAGCAATTGACCTTCCATCTTTAGCTTTTTCCTAAAACTTTTAGATACGTAAAATGGAAGCTGATGTCTGCTTCCATTGATATCTTCAAGCCTTAAATTGGTTTTTTATTTTGGCCAGAAAGCCTTAAACTGGTTTACTATTATTTTATATTTTTTTTTAATAACGTGGAAAAAATCGAATATTGCCACGTTTCTGTTTTAGTATCCATAAGAGGGTTTTGACGTCTAGACAAAGTCCCATAAAAGGTCATCGGCCTAATAAATCCTGTTGTTTCCTAATCATTTCGTCTAAAACAAGGGCTACTGTTCCTTACAAGTTCAGAAGGACACATCTGTTTGGTTAGTTGGTTGCAACTACTAGGGGACGCGTTTGTCGGTTATCGGATCACTTTGTAACTGACAGGTCACGTTAGCGAGAAATCATGATGTCAAGGATTATAAATTTACCCCAAAGCTGACAGGACTCTCTGAGGCGTTTCATCACTCACTCTCTCTCTCCCTAGTAATTGCTGGTACGCTCTTTGATCCAAATTAGGGTTTCCTTTCTCATGTTTAGCGCTTATCTCCAGTAAGCTGATTTGAATTGTTCTTTGTTGTGATCCATATTTATCATAAATTTTCAGTCTTTAGTTTGATCTTCACATAAAATTGAAAAATTAAATGAAAAAGGTGATTTTATTGATGAATTAGGTGACAAAGAAAAAGGTCAAGAAAAATGGGAAAAATATGAAACTTTTGTTTTAAAGTTGTGGTTTTTATTCACTTGGTTGGCTTTATGAATGGTTACAGAGCAATAGGATTTGTTGAAAAATGGCTGAAGGTTCAGCTGCAGTTCCCAGTGCTGAGTTGTTGGAATGGCCAAAGAAAGATAAGCGTCGGTTCCTTCATGCCGTCTACCGTGTTGGTGATCTTGATCGTACCATCAAGTAAGTACGCTTTTCTAGAACTAGGATGTTAATTCTTTTACTTTGCTTTTTGTTTTGACGCTTCGATGTTCTTATTTTTTTGTTACAAATGTGTATTCAGGTTTTACACTGATTGTTTTGGAATGAAACTGTTGAGGAAAAGAGACATTCCTGAGGAGAAATACTCCAATGCCTTTCTTGGGTTTGGCCCAGAGGAGTCGCATTTCGTTGTGGAGTTAACATACAGTACGTTTGTGCTATATTTATCCCTCTATATGGAAATATTTTGTGCAAATGGGTTTTTTTATGCCTGTAATGCTTGAAGCTTGGAGAGTTTTGTTTCCTGATCAGGCAGTTAGCCTGAGGATTCCTTTTAATCAAAATGCTGTAGATCTGATACATCTATTGCGGCATAGTTCACTTTAGTTAATCTAAAGTGGGTACTTTTGGGGTACTGAAGGAATTTACTGATAATGACAGAGGGCTTCTCAAATTTTTTAGTTCTCTTGAACTTCTTTGGTCTCTAAGAACTGTTATTTTTTGTTACAGATTATGGAGTAACTTCATATGATATTGGAACTGGTTTTGGGCATTTTGCAATTGCAACTCCTGATGTAAGTTCCGTACTTTTGGAATAATCGAGCAATCGATTCATTGCAAATGATGATATTTATTCCACCTTGTACTTTAGGTCTACAAAATGGTTGAGGACATCCGTGCAAAGGGTGGCAATATTACTAGAGAGCCTGGTCCAGTCAAAGGTGGATCCACTGTCATTGCTTTTGTGAAGGATCCTGATGGTTATGTTTTTGAGCTCATCCAAAGAGCTTCTACTCCTGAACCACTCTGTCAAGTAATGCTTCGTGTTGGGAATTTAGATCGCTCTGTCAAATTCTACGAAAAGGTAGTGCAATATAAAATTACCTTTCGCTTGAACCTTTTTTTTCTCTAGTTAATCTAAAATTTCAATTTCAAAGCAAATTCATTGTGCTTTGCGTGCATGAATCACTTAAATAAAAGTTTGACTGATTGGATGATAGTCATAAATAGGCTTTGGACCTAATGTTTGCTTGCTGTCATTGCTCTCAAGGGATTCTTTTCTTGACTTTGTTGATTAAAAGGTGCTAGAAAATTTTTTGATGAGTTAGTAATTTCCTTGCTTTTCTTTGTTTATTTCTTTGCAGGCCCTGGGCATGAAGCTAGTGAAGAAGGTTGATAGGCCTGAATACAAGGTAAATTCTGTCCTACTTGGATTATTTTATTTAGTTTACTTAGCAGGGATATGAAACCTGTGGAAGAAGCCTAATAAATTTTCTCATTTTTGTTACATGCTCTTGACAGTACTCCATAGCCATGATGGGGTATGCTGAAGAACATGAGACTACTGTTCTTGAGTTGACTTACAATTATGGAGTGATTGAATATACCAAGGGAAATGCATATGCACAGGTCAGTTTAAGACTCTTTCTATTAGCTAACCTTGCAACAAAAGTCTATGCGATGTTTTCTTAATTTCTTCTTTAGAAATGGTTCCATTGCCCTTTTTTGGTGACTATTGTCCCCATTCCAGGTTGCTATCAGCACTGATGATGTATACAAGAGTGGTGAAGTTGTAGAGCATGTTATACAAGAGCTTGGCGGAAAGGTTACTCGAAAACCAGGGCCAATTCCTGGAATCAACACTAAAATTACCTCTTTCTTAGATCCTGATGGCTGGAAAACGGTAAGTTTTAGTAGTACTGGAAACTTTACCATCTCTATCATTTGCTAGAGCATTTGTAAGGAATAATCATTAGAATTCAGAATGTTCTTACTAGTTTGTAGTTGTTTCAATAAAGTAACAACTGCTCCTAGGCCATTTTTTGTGTGCTGTTGAAATTGCATAGTAGAACTAGGTGGTAAGATTGGCAACTATTGGGTTGTTCGTATATCCTTTAGCTTGCCCTGGACGTTTAAAACTGGTAGATAACCAAATAATGAAAGATTAAAAGATCATTTGAAATATATTACATAGGTTTTTTGTCTGTAGAATAACTAGAAAGTGTGAAAAGAATCCAGAACTTGTGTATGAACCAAGATTAGAATTTGAACATTCTATTTCTATGACATCTATAATTTTAATTGTTTTGTGGTAGGAGAAAGACCAAGAAAAATGAAATGCACCATACAATTATTACTCACTATTTGAACTCACCACAATTCGCTTATTTATTTATTTTTTTTTTTACGCAACACAACTCATCTGTTACTTCTTGAACTTTTTTAGTATTAGAGTAAACTTCTTAGGATGATATGAAACTACAAATCAAGCATCTATTTGTGGTTGTTTAGGACAACTACAAATCAAGCATGATGTCATTGCACGTCCCTTATTCAGTCAAACCAGATTAAATTATAGCATAATATAAACTTACGAGTAGTTCATGTCAATAGAATCCTTTTATGCTGACAGGCTCATGATATGGTTATGCTTTGTGTCTACAGGTCCTGGTTGACAATGAAGACTTTTTGAGGGAACTCCAGTAGGCAGTAGGCAGAGTAATAACATCAACATGGCAAAAAAGGCTCTGGATGCATTAAGCATAGTCCTGTTACTATATGAATACGCGAGCAATATGCCTGTTTAAATATGGTTGTTATGCGACTTGAACCATTTTCAACTCTTTATTGTTGTGGATTCTAGTATGTTTCATAACTATCAGAAAGTTATGGTTATTGTTGGAGCCGAGTTATGACCTAAGGGTATTCTTGTAAATGCAAAAGAGAATGGTGGTTAAAGATAAAGGTAGGGGTTGTTCTGTGTTTGCACTTCGATGTGTAAGTTAATAAAGATTAGGTTGGTAAAAAAATAAGAAAGAAAGAGAAGTGAGTGGGATGAATTTGCTTTCATAGTGCTCAATTTTTTATATTTATAAGTATGCTGAAGGGATCATAAGGGGGGACAATTAAAATAAAGCTGAGCTGATGTGGCACTGACTTTGTCAAGTTGGTACAAGTGATAAAAATATCCCTGATTGTCTATTGAAGGTTTTGAAAGAGAAAAAAATCACTATACCTTTTTTATTATCAAATGCCTCAATATTCTGTCCTTTAGTTAGATAGTCTGAATATGAGATCGTCAAATTTATTATCGATGTCTTTGGTGTAGGATAGATTGGTTGAATTAACATATTGACAGTTTGGTTCATCGAAGGTTGACATTGAAAGGGGAGGTCGGTTTTGGACGATGATTAGCTTTGGGCCATGATTTGACATGGTTATCTGATCTTGTGCATGTTTTGGATTAAATGCATAATCGATTTAAAGGTTGTTGAGGTGATAATTATTTGGGGTGATTTAAGATTAGTGTAGGAGTTTGTCTGGCTATGGCAAGACTTGTATTTTTTTTTTTTCAAAATTTGGATTTGGGCATTTATTTTGGACCTTATAGGTGAACTAGGCTTTTAGTTTACCTTTAACAGTTGTCTGGTTTAGATGGTCTGACTTGGGGTTCGTTTAGTTAGGTCGATCTGATAGCATTAAATGAGGAGAAAAGTGATTTGAGCAAAAAAATTGAAAGCGAAAAGGAGAAAAGTTGTTTTTTTGCCCGTGTTTCGACATGTGATGCGAAACGTGTCATCCATTTGGTTTGTGGTGTGTCTATATAAATGGTTGGTAGGGTTTTAATTTTTCACATTTTGCTTTCTTTGTTCTCAATTCGATCTAAAATTTTTTATCTAAATAGTGTTTTAGCTTTAAAAGTTTTTTTTATACCCATTTCGGTACGTATTGCTAATCATATCTTTTAATATGAGTTTTAGAAAGGTTGAGTTATAAGGTAGAGCTAAGAGGAAGTTAATAAAGGTAATAGGATAATGACCTGATCCCTCATATTATTCAAGGTTGTAACTATGCAAAGACGGTTTATTGATTCAACTTGATATCTGAAAAAGAGCAACAACTTAATGAAAAGAATGTTTGGGCAAGAGGTAAGCTAGTTTTAAGTACGAAAAAATTATATGCTCAAATCAACTTCAAATTTCAACATCCACATATTTTTCTTATCTCTCAAGTTGGTCCATCTTTTATGGTTGACTTTGCTTTCTTTTCGATCGTTCTCCCTTCTGGAGTTTGTTCTCTTTCATTTCCTGTAACTTTTACTTTTCCTTAATTAGTTTTTTTAAACATCTCGTCTTTTCTACCTTGTTTTTCTTTTTTGGGGATCGAGTTGCTTTCATCCATTATTTTTTTTCGAGATTTCACCCAAAAGTCAAATTTTTTTAACAATGAAGGTTTCGAGGAGGAACAAAACAGAGGGAACACCTCGAAAAGTGACGACGAAGAGGAGTTTTGTGGTGCAGGATGAACTCGTCAAGGTTTCTGTATATATTTTGTGTGACCTCAATGTGATCTCCAAAGACGTGATGAGCAAGCTAAAAGGCAAGATAAATCCAGAAGATTGTTTTATCATGTGCTCGACACATCACGTTTGTGTTTTGGGTATCACTTTTTTTTTTCTAGAGAAGGATATAGTATAATAACACTGAACTTCTCAGATTAGGTCATTGATAAATTAAATCGCATCGATTTTACGTATATTGGGATTTGTTCATGGTTGGTCTGAGATTTTCATTTCATCTTTTACTCATTTTAATTTTTAATTATTATAATTTGATCATCATTTAGCTCACTTCAAATTCTATTCAATACATAGTTGTTTTTATTATTCTTCATCAATAACTAAATATTCTTCTTTTTTTCCCTCTATTCAGGGAGTTCTCTTTTAAAAAATATCCCAATGATAGCAGGTGGTTTTATATCATAGCTCGGTCAAATAAAAGATTTTTCGTCGATTGCATAAGCTTAATAAAGAAATGAAAGTTGCTTTTTATAGGCCTTGAGAAGCAAAAGACAAATAAAGATGGTGAGCTTGAGGTTAACATTTGGGAAATAAAGAGTACATCTAACTCTTTTATGGATGGATCGATGACTTTTTTTATCTTCGATCTATTAGATCGGGATAAGATTTTAGATTTTACACGTAAGGGAGCTCATCATCGATGCTTATCAGTTGACCTCTACAGAAGTAATAAACAAGATTAAATATTATGGTAGGTTTGAGGTAACTTTGAAGGATTTTGCTTTAAGTTAATTTTTATATAACGGTTAGCTCGATTTTGTAAAAATGGTCAATAGTAACAGCTTAAACTTTTTGTTGTACCAATATGTCTTAAGGTTCAATAGGGGCCAAAAGATGATCCAGCTTGCGATCCCGTCCTGTGAATGAGACAATGTGGTTAGCACTTCTATGCCTCATTTTTTCTCATATTGAAAGTTGAAAGCTAGGATAGGTCAAGACCTATCTTTCACATCGGCACCGACACCACCCTTTCCAGCCAAAAGATTATGGGTAAAAACCTTTTTTTCTACTCCTAAAAGCCCTAAAGCTAGGGTGCTAAGCTTAACTCAGAGAGAACATCCACAAGGTTAGAGTATGCTCCAATGGATAATCTCATTTCCAACCTCGACATAGCCAAGGGGTTTGGCAAGGTCATAGTTCCTCCTTTTGGTGACTATTTCCTGACCTCAACTTGATTTTTTGTTATTGTTTTTATTTTTTTTAAGATCTTTTCGTGTAATTCAAAAAAAGTTTCGACCTCAACTTGTAAAAAACAACAGCCAAGCCTTCCACCATATTTATTTTGTCATGGAGCATATACTAAAGGTTGAAAAGGATATAACTGCCCTTGTCGAAGAGCACAAGAAAAGCTCAAAGGCATTGGATAACATCAGGTTTAGCTTCAGTGTATCCCAAGAAAAAGGTCAAGCTGAGAAAAAGGTGAACGAGCTGACAGCGATGCTGAAGGTCATCTCGGTTAACAAGGCCTCTACTGGATCTATGAAGGAATAAGTCGAGATGAAGTTGAATGATGCTCAGGCCAAAATAGCAAGGCTAAGGTCCGAGCTAAAAGCTTGGGACAAAAGGAATGAAGAGCTGAAGGTGAAGGCTATGAAAGAGTACAAGGCTTTCGATGACTATCTCCAAATGAAGGTAGAGTTTTCAGGAAAAAACATACTTGGTGCCTTTCAACTGGCCAAAGATGAGGTATAATTCAAATTCTCCTCTCTCAACCTTGACCTATCTGATATTGACATCAACAATATCAAATCAAGGGCTCGTTCAAATTAGCTCGAAAAAGATGAAGATAAAGATGAGGCCACCCTAGGGACCAAGGAGAAAGTTGTAGAGGTCGTCGAAGGTGAGGTCGTCATTCTTGCTTTTGCTGATAAGAATGTTCTTCCTACAACTATTGTTGATGAATAAATTCTATAATTTTTTATTTTTGACTTTGTAAATTTTTTTATGACCTCTCATATTTTAACCGATATATTGTTACAATTAAATAACAAGAAAAAAATTTTCAAGTTTCAGCTTGGATTTATTGTCATTTCTTTCTTATTTGCATAAGTATGAGAACAATTAACCGATCTAAAGGTGGATAATTAGATTGAAAACTTACATAATTACTTAGATCAGATAAACATAATTACAAATTTTAGATTGAATTTTTTCAAATCACTTAAACGCAAGCTTACCAAAGATAATTTAATTCACGTGTTCATGTACAAAATAATAAAAGTGTAAGCTTAGTTTGAATCGATCTACTGGTAATAGACTTTATTTGCATTTCACATTCTTGGGATGGTAGTGCCATTCACAAAATAATGCAAGTGTGAGCTCAGTTTATATCGAGATACTGATAATAAATTTTTAAGTTGTTTGCGTTTCACATTTTTGGGATGATGTCATCATTTAGATCCTATAATTTGTAAGTCACATCATAAATGACTTTTTTAACAATATATGATCCTTTTCATGTCAGGATCAATTTGTCACCTCAATTATCTATTCTTAAAGCTTTAACTTTTTTAAGTATCAAGTCGTCCTTCTTGATATGTTTACATTAGACTCTCTTATTATAATAGGTGGCTATCTTTTGCATGTATGCTACAATTCGTGTTAGAGTTGTTTTTTTATTCTTTGAGAGGTCAAAATCGGCCTTAAATGCTTTTTCATTTTTTTTCAACGTTAATTTAACTTTTAAGCTCAGCAAGTCAATCTCAACCGACATTACGATCTCTGTTTCAAATGCTAAGTGAAAAGAGGTTTTACCAATAGGCACCTTTATGGTTGTCTTTAAGGCCTAAAAAACTTTCGGTAGCTCGTTGGCCTAAATCCTTTTTGCCACATTAAGCTTATTTTTCAAAGCTTCTAATATTGTCTTATTTGCAGCTTCAGTTTGCCTGTTGGACTGAAGATGGGCAACTGATGTGAACCTGAGGTCAATGTAAAGATTTAAGCACCATTCCCTGAACCTTGAATTTTTTTAATTGTTTGTTATTGTCCATTATTATAGAACGAGGTAATCTGAATTTGCAGACTATGTTTTTTTACATGAATTTTTTGACTTGTGCTTTCGTGGTGGTGGTTAGGGCTTCAGCTTTCAACCATTTTGTGAAATAATCTACTGCCACTAAAATGAATTCCTTTGACCCATTACTAGAGTGAATGGTTTGAGGACATCCATTTTTCATTGCATGAATGGCCATAGATTGATGATAGGAATAAGCTCAGTTGAGGGGAGATGTTACATATAGGTAAATCTCTGACACTTATTACATCTCTTTATCAGATTGATTGCATCTCTCTTGATAGTGGGCCTGTAATAGCCTTATTTCAACACTTATATGAGCCAAAGG